AGATGATCTCACACTTCTTCTCCTTCTCTCTCCAGACTACCAGGACTTCATCGGGACGTGTTTGAGAATCCACCCGAAGAACCAGTGAGGAGGAGCACTTAAATACTTAATATAATTTTAGTTAGTAACTTTATTTAAGTTAATGAGTGTAAACAAAAGACGCAACACAAGTTTGATTGCTTTAGATCCATTTTAAGGGTTTACTCACTCTCCCATCTTATCTTATATAGAATAATGGCGGAAGAAGAAGATGTTTTATTAGTAAATTAACATCCTGCCTATATGGGAAATTTAGATTAAAACATGAATATTATAGACCGACAACTAAAACCACATAAAAATTCAATTGCCTAGAAATAATCAGATTCAAGCCCTTTGCTGTCTACAGAAGGAATCAGCTTTTGAAGGCCACTTCAGCTGTTTTATTCGGTCTAAAGAACCACAGAACATTCACCCACTTGTGTCTAATAACAATGTTTGCAGCCTGTCAGTAATTGCACACTCAAACTACCGCCAGTGATATTTCTCAACATCTGGGGACACGTTTCTACGGATGCATTGGAGATTTCTAGCAGGTTTGTAGATGTGTCAAAAATCTGTCTTTGATTAATCAACAACTATAAAACGCTTGCAAGTTTATGCAAGTCAGTTTATTTATAATATCCTACAACAACAAAAAATTATTATTTTTTCTTTTTCGTAGCTCATGGTGGGGCCACGCCCTATTGGCCTCTATGGACCGGCCGTCACTGGTAAAAAAACATTCAGCGACATATTCCGGGTCTTTCTTTCTGTTGACCACTAGCTGCCACTATTGCTAAGGAATATATTAATTCATGAAAAAAAATGTACTGGCTTTTGTCTCAGTTGTGGAAATGTTCATTATGCAAATTATATCAGCTAATAATGTAGACCAATTAAGGAGTCTCTGTTTTTTAATATGTACATTTTATTGCAAACGAACAACCACATAATCTGATCACAGAAGTAGTGTTCAGAATTTTATTTAGGATAAGCATCAAAATATAGCTGATAGAAGTACAAGTAAAATAAAAGTTGTCCATTGCAGAATAGTGTAATAGACCGCCTATCGAATTAAAAGGAATTTAATTTATTGTTCTCGTTACATAACAACATTATATTTGTCGATTGTGTTTCGTATTAATAATCTGAATGTTAAAAAAATAGTTTTAACATATCTGTAAAAAGCAGCCCACATTATTGGTAGTATTGAGAAGCAGATAAAGTAGTAGATAAAGTAATAAAATAAAGCCGCTTACATGTCGCTCAGAACGTCACAGTGCTTTAGTAGATCTATTTTCCCTTTTATTCGCTGTTTACTTTACTTACTGGAAGTCCGGCCCGCCCCTCTCCGGAGAAACGCGCCTTCGTGACGTCACTTCCCACCTGCGCGAGCTCGTGCTAACTCAGCTAACCGAGAGACGAGAAAACTAACGGCACCCGCTTCCAACGGTCACCGAGGTTGGTCGGGCTCACCGCGGTGCCCCCCCGAAGCCTCGCCGTACCCGCGGTGTGCGTGTGTGTCCTTTTGGATGCAGGTCTGTCCGCTTGTTGACGTCCATGACGAGGACGGATGTGACCGCGGCTCCAGGACGTCACCAGCTAGCGGGACTTTTCCCGCGGATGTTTCTGTTTTTTTGAGTGTCTTTCCCCCTCCTCTGGTATGCATTTAAACCCGTAGATCCCTCTGACCGGGGCCTTAAGACTCTTAGCCTTAGTTGCGGCCCCTCGGTCGGGATGAAGCTGCAGTGTGACGTCGAGGTGGTGAATCGGATGCTCCCCTCGTTCGGGATGAAAAGTCGAGGGAAGGGGACCAGAGCGGTGCTGTCCATCGGGAAGCATCTGGACAAGACAAGCCAACGCAGCAACATCTACATGATGATCTGCACATCTAAAGACAGAACGGGCTCCAAGTACAAGGTCTGCTGCTGCTGCTGCTGCTGCTGCTGTTGTTGTTGTTGTTGTCATCCGTCGGATCTGTCCCAGTGTGTGCTCCTTTATGTTGATTTAAATCTAAAAGAATTTCAAAGCCAGCTAACCTCGTCAAACAGATGCTAAATTATACCCATTATTAATAAGAATGGATGCATTTGACTGTATTGATAGATATGTAAACTTCATAGTTATTTTGGTGGATCTGTTTATACTTGAGTCTGTCCATCCAGGAAGCAAATGGGACTTTTTCCTTCATGCATTTGCAGTAAAGTGCCTCAATAAGCCCTGTGGTTGACTTGAGTTTCTAAATTTGTAAAAGACATAGAGGGGATGAGAAACGTAAAGGACAATTAATCCTCGAATGCTTTCCATATTTTTACTGGCCTCAATAGAATGACAAAAATCCACATCTCCTCTTTTTATTTGTCTATTTACTTTAGAAGACGTGAGGCCCTTGACGTGTTGTTCGTCGTGTCCACAGATGCCGCCTTCAAGTCCCCACTCGCTGAGACGCCGTAATGCGGAACCACCCTGTTGTTGCGTTGTGGATTTTTCCGTTGCTGACGTTTGCCAAATTTCTCTTTCAGCTTAAAGACAACATAGAGAAGTTCTTCACTTGGTTTGTGGAGGAAGGCAAGGCCACTGTGAGGTTAAAGGAACCCGCCGTTGACATTTGTTTGAGCAAGGTACGACATCCAACGCCGTTTTAATCCAATTTGTCAGATTTATATCAAAGCAACTTTATTTTTTAATGAAAACCAAAACCCGACTCGTCCTTTTTGTTAATCAACTCGACAAGCACATGCAGTTGTTTTGACTGCAGCTGATGGCTGGACGGTAACCATGGCAGCCTCATTGTTTCCAGCTGCTGTAAAGGCCTCCTCGCTGCTTTGAGGGCCAGCGTGACCTTTCACTTATATTCTAACAACATAATAATAATCTGCCATGTTTAAACAGACACACAGACATATTGCAGACAAACAGAATGAACAGAATTTCTTACTTTGTTGTAAATTTGTAAAACCAACATAGATTTAAATGTACACCCTGTTATGTCTTTTGGGTTTTTTCTGGTTTACAGTTTATTATTTTTGGACTACATTGGATTGTACAGGTTTTCAACTAATTCTGTCCGAGCCATGTGTTTAACATCCTGCATCACGTACAATTTTTCCCCAATTTTTCCAAAGTGTGAAATCAAGATATTCCAGGCCAGGAAATTTGGATATTTCAAGGAATCTAGTCTGAGAAGATACTGCAAAACTGCTCTTTCTTCTTACCGCGGACCTGTACCTTCATCTATTTATTCATTTGTTTGTAGGCTGACGCAAATAGCTTAAAGAGCTTCCTCTCGGCGGCTCGTTTGGCCGACAGAGGAAGCGTCACGAGTAGCCTTCCTCTCTCCACGCTCACTCCTGTTCGCGCCAGAGACGTTGAGCAACCCAAGAAGAAGCTCACCATCGTCTCCAAGAAGGACTACCCCATCACCTCCAACTTCCCCTACTCCCTGGAGCAGCTGCAAGTCTCCTACTGCAAACTGTCCCGCATGGACATGCGGATGCTGTCTCTCAAAGGTAGAATGAGCCCACATTGATACAAGTGTCTTGATTTACGTTCTGTTCCTGCACTTCGCTTCCTTTTGGATTACCTTCCTCCCTGAGTTGTGGCGTTTCCTTTCCTTTCTTGTTTGTGCAGCTCTCCGCAAGCTGGACCTCAGCAACAACCACATCAAGAAGCTTCCCGCCACCATCGGGGACCTCGGCTGCCTCTCCGAGCTCGTCCTCCACAACAACCACCTGGAGGCCTTCAGCGAGGCGCTGTGCCTGTCCACGCTGCAGCGGACCCTCCAGATCCTGGACCTCAGCCAGAACCGACTGCGGTGGCTCCCGCCTCAGTTCTGCCAGCTCAAGGAACTGGTGAACCTCAAGCTGGACGACAACGAGCTCACCTGTCTGCCGTTCCGCGTGGGCCGGCTCTCCAAGTTGAGGTTCCTGTCGGCGGCACACAACCAGCTGGCCGCGTTGCCCTCTGACTTCCGCAGGCTCAGCCTGGAGAACCTGGACCTGTTCGGCAATCCGTTCGTCCAGCCCAACCCTCTCGACCACACGATGAAGCTCACGTTCCCGCTTCCCCTTCAAGAGATGGCTTCCAGAGCCGTGGCCGACCTCAGGTGAGAACGAAACGCGCCTGCCGGGTCCGACCCAAGTCCTCGCTGTCGTTCTCCCAGCGACCTTGACCTTGATGGTGTCCTCACTCTCGTTCCCCTCGCAGGCTGCCTTACGGACCTCACCTCATCCCGGGCCACTTGTGTCGGGACCTGGAAGTCGCCAAGGCGTGCGACTGCGGCCGCGTCTGCGTCAATTTCTTCATCAAGACGGCGGTTAGCATGAACCTGCACCAAGTCTCCCACACGGTGGTCCTGGTGGACGACATGGGGGGCACGGACGCTCCGGTGCAGCAGCACTTCTGCTCCCTCTCTTGCTACTCCCAGTTTTTAGACAACTCGCTCCAGAGAGGAATCCGATGAGGAAGGACAAACACTTTTGCTCAACAGGAAACGCAGCGACTGCTGGAAATTGCGGTGGATTTTGCAAAAGCTCTCGGGTGGATGGACTCGACTTGCAGATGACAGGAGAATATTGACCCTTTCAAGGTTTTGTTTTTTTAAAGGGCTTGAAGCAGTCTGTTTTAAATTGTCATTCAACTTGCGTTGCACTTCTTTCTCACGGGCTCCATCCGTGACCTAAAAGCACTGCGCTTCATGTAGCGATGGCAGACTGACACGTGACAGTTCTCCGAGGCTGCTGGTAAATGTCATAGATGGTCCTTCCTGATCCTTCTGCCTCTTAAAGCAGACTGCAGGCTCCTCTGCTGACCTACTTCTACCAGGCAAGGGAATAAAGACATTAGATTAATTGGAGTTCTTTCCTCAACACAGTGCCTCAGGGTCCGTGAGCATTGCCTAAGGGGAGTTAGTTTTTACTGTGCTAATGGCCCACTATTTTTATATTCATTTGAAAAATGCAATAAAATAAAACTATTCACACTGTTGTACAAAGTAGTTTATTCTGAGACATTTGAATGATTTTAAATCATACATATTTGTATTGAGGGAATAAAGAGGAATATGAACATTTAATATCTTATCAAACGATATAACTTCAGCATTCACAACCTGCTGCATTACGAGAAAACCAAACATCACAACCTCCTCTGAACCCTCAGTCCAGCTCATACATCAGGGAGTTCTGGAAGATGAACCCGGCAGACGTGGAGTGGTCGCTGATAATCTTTTCGTTTCCATCGTCATCTATTTCCCTCAATGACCCGGGTGGCGGCTGGTTGCCGCGCTCCGCTTTGTGGAGGATTCTCGCCGCTGGCAGGTCATGGCGGTCTGCGTTCTTCTCCTCCTCGTGCCCTACTGAGCCCGTGGCCGGTTCCTCCGTGTCCCCGTTGGGCGGCTTGCAGCCGTCCTTGGTGTTGTTCCGGCTTTGAGGTTCAGTTTGGGGTTCCTCACTTGCGCTGTGGTTTAAAAATGCAGCCTCTGTCGCCACCTGGAACAGGAAAATAACAAAAGCGCTTAGTTTGGGCTTTATACGTTAACCTTCCTGTCTCCAGGATTTATGATTTACGACAAATCTCACCTCCTTTTTGATGTCTGAAGACCTCCTCTTGGGTGGTGACTCCGAGCGAGAGGTCGGACTGACTTCTCCCTCTTTTTCTACTTGGCTTGAATGTTCAGCAGTGATCAAAACAAGCTGGTCCTCTGTTCCGTGTGCGGCCACAAGCTTGTTATGATCAGGCGCAGAGTTTTGTTCTTCAGCAGAAACATCAACAGTGTCCTGCTGAGAACTTAGACCAGAGTCCTCGGTATCTTCAAGTTGCTGCCTTTTGTGTAGGTTAGAGTTAACCGTCTCATTTTCCTCTTTCTGCTCTTTCAATATCTCCTCCACAGCTTCTTGGCCTAAGCCATTTTTCTCTTTTTGGTCACCATTTTCTCCTTCACTCTTTCCCTCCTGTTTTTCTTCCTCACCTGCTACACCTTCCTCTTCTTCCATCACCTGCTCCTCTCCTCTCTCATGACCCCTTTCACCCTCTTTTTCAACTTCGCCTGTCTGCTGCCCGAAACCCCCACCACCAGCTCTATTCTCCTCCTCCACCTTCCGCTTCTCCTCTTCGTCCACCTCTCTTTTCTCTTCCCGACCGTCATCGTCACCGGCGCTAGTAAGCGCGAACGCCGCGGCCGGATCAAAAGCTTCATCGGAAGGGAGAACCGTCAGCGTGACGGTAAGCTGTCTTCTCGGTTTGTTGAACTTGGCCTCTCCTTTATCTTGGTCCACAGGGTAGGAGAGGGGCAGCTCCAGTCTGTAGGATGGTTTCTTGGACACCAGCAGCAGCTGCCTCTCTTTCACCTCGAGGCTGGCCTCCGACACCTCCTTCAGAAGAGGCAGGTCGACCTTTACCACTATCTCTTGGGGCCTGGGGCTTTGGGCAGAGTCTCTGGAGTATCTGAAGTCCTGCAGATCCAAAAAAGATCGATATTTGACCGTGTAGTTTGGCCTGGTAGGCTGCTTGTCGTTGCTGCAGCTTTTGGGTTGGGCGTCGCTGCTGGTTTTGGTTGCATGTGATTCTTTGGGCTTCATTTGAGATATTTTTTCATCCGGGTATGGGAACGCGAGGGGGTCCGCCTCCTCCGAGGGCTCCTTGGGTTTGTATCCAGGAATGGGTTTTCGGATGACACAGGGCCGAGGGGCCCCCTTGTATTTGACACTCGTCTCACTCACGTTGTTTTCGTCCAGAGTCACTTTGAAAGCGTCCTGGATCCCCCGAATGGCCGCGCTGTCCACCATTTCCATGAAGGTCTTGTTCTTGCTCGCCAAGTGGATGGTGTCAGGGTGGAAAATGACATCATAGATCATGATCGTGTCGCCTTGGGTGTCTCTGTCTTGTCTCCCCGGATGCAGACTGTGGGGCAGGGACCAGCGCTGTCCCACGCGGCCGTCCTCCGACGTCCCGCCCTCACACGCAGGCTTTCCCACTTTTCCGTTGGAGCAGATGTTGATGAAACACTTCCGCGTGCCGTTCAAACTCGTCCCGAGACAGCGGAACGGTTCCGGGTGGATGAACTGAATGCTGTTTCCTCTCTCCTGCTCCAGGAGTTCGATCTCCTCCTCGTACCTCTTCCTATTCTCGGGGTCCGATATTTCATCGGCGTAATCGCGCAGCATTTCCGCGAATTTCTTGTCTTTGAGCGCTTTAGTCAGTCGGTCGACTTCATCCGCTGTCATGTTTAGTTCTCTCAGTTTGTCTCCAACCTCCATGATGACGATCACGATACGAAACGACGGATACTGAATGAATGAATTTAGCCGAGACACAAAAAAGTCCAGAGGCAAGATGACCTATTTACAACCGTGTGTTTTAACTAGTCATGGACCCCCATCAAATAGTCCTGGTTGTGTGGATGTAACCATAGCAACACGAAAGTCTTTTGGTGCAACAAGGAAACACTTCCCTGTGAAACTTGTTTTGTTCTCGTTCAGACCCGCCAGTATCTCAAGGAATGAACATAAACGTTTAACAAATATATATAATTTAGTTAAAAAAGAATAGTTGACCACAACAAAAATTAAATCATGCAGTGTCTTGTTATGATTAATAAGTTAAATGGGTTATCAACGAGGAAAAGCCTGCATTGTTTTTTTATTTATTAGTTATTATGTTCATAAGCTATGCACTGTCTAATCTATGTGAAATCAATTTTTTAATCACACATTTAAAAATGGGATTGTTTTTAGTTTACTTGCCTTTTTATTGAATATTCCAGGTTCTGTCAGAGTATATTTAAGTTAGTTCTGCAAACAAAACGACAAGTATATTTTCCAACCAACATACATAAATGTACACAATCCAGTAAAAACTGTTTTGAGCACTCAAGGTGAGCAATTACCCATATAACATTAAACTTAGCTTAACCATGTCAAACTTAACGACGTTCAGGCATATTTAGTGAAATGACATGAATTCGCCGCCAGCTGTCGCTGTGGATCCTCGCTCGAGTGGCACGCAGCCAATAGGAAAGTCGGTCAGTAAGGCAAAGGGGCGGATATGCAGAAACGAGACGTGATTGGTCGCACCCCCAACGGTTCATATTTCCCACTGTCTGATTGGTAGGTGTGCGCCGTTACTGGCTTGGAAACCAATGGTTATGAATGTATAGATGAGAGGGAGGGAAGGAGGGAGAAAAAGAGAGGGCGAGGCGGCACACAGAACCACTGTGTGGTCCAGCAGCATCTTTAGAGCTCCTCTTTTAATTGTTTACTTAATAAATGTTCCACTTTCTTCCTCACAATTTCCTCAGCTGAAAATGGCTTCTATGTTGATCATTTGGCCAAGGATGGTCTATAGCACTTATATCACTTCTCATGTGATTTGTTAATTGTGCATATTACTGTACAACCTGTTTAAATTACAATCTATACATTAAACTATGACTGTGCCTGCCAGTGTTATATCATGTTATATTGTATTCTCAATATAACTCTAACTGATGCTCTATTTTAAAACTGAGTGGTTTATTACAAAAGAGTCCCAGAGACCCACAATCTCCCTATTCCCTTATGTAAGTGCTGGATTAGATCAGTTAATGAACTCTAAAACAAGGAAAACAAATCTTAAGTAAGTCTTGTCTGCTGACTAAAGGACAATCTGGTTCTGAGCTAATAAAGGGACACGATGTCCTGAGATGTTCTTACCAGAGAGCTTTTATAACACCAAATTTCATTCAGCCAGTAGAGCAAGAGAGTGCCGGTGTGGGGGAGTCGCAGTGTGACGCATACAGGATGTGGGCAGGCACCACTCTGGGAAAGATTGCTGACTATACCAAGATCCCACACTTTTTTTCCCCCATGAATAAGACATCAGAAAGATCCCGAAACGCACAAACAATTTCTCACTTGATCTTTTTTTTGTTTTATTAGAAATATGTATTAAATAATATGAAAAGTTAGACAGGGAGGTATAATCATAGTACTGATGGTTAATATTTATATAATCTTGCATGTTTTTTCCAAAAATGACTAATAATTTCATAGTACAACGAACAATACATTCCTAGACTTATCAACACAAACAAGGAGAAAGTGTTGCAGGAGAGGTGGAAGGTGAAATGTATAAGACAAACTTCATCTTTGGCAAGAGTGCATTGATATTATCAAATATATCAAAGTAAACAAAAGAATCCTTTAAAGAAAAAACACATGTACAAATGAGCAGTCGAGAGGAATAAAAGAGTCCAGTGCATGTTTTTCTGTCATTCCCATGAGTAAAATAGCAGCAGCCGTGCGTGCTTGGCTGCTCCGTGTCCCTGGTATCTTGGGAGTGGGCGGCAGGGCAGTGTTCATTGTCTACTTTGAGCCGGCAGGTACCAGCATGCTCAGTGTGGCGAGGCCGGGTTTTGAGGGAGGCGTTCTGGCGGCGGCCATTTTGTTCAGGCTCCGGACGTCGGCCTGCCAGGAGGGCATTTTCTTCGTGGTCATGTGGCGGCGGGCGTGTTTGGTGAGGTGGTCGCTTCGCATGAATCGCCGGTCGCACACGGGACACACAAATTTCTTTTCGCCCGTGTGTGTCCGCCGGTGACGGGAGAGCTCGTCGGAGCGGGCGAACCGCTTCTCGCAGCCGTCCCAGCTGCAGCTGAAGGGCTTCTCGCCTGAGGGAGGGAGGCAGAGAGAGCAGCGAGTCAGCGAGTGAGTCGAGTTGCGGTCATAAAATCATTACCCTGTCACGCGCGAGATGCAACAATGACCTCACTTTAATTCTCGTCAAGAATAACAAGGCCATGAAAGGAATGTTTTACTAACAGGATGCAACACAAATCTATGCCCCCCCCCCCTCCTTCCCTGTCTCACTTCCACACAGGTCCAAACCAAACCAAACCCTTCTGTACCCAGTTAACCCTCACCTGTGTGTGTTCTTAGGTGAGCCTTGAGGTGTGAGCTCTTGAAGTAAGTCTTCCTGCAGCCCGGGAAGGTGCAGACATAGTTTCTCCTGCGGGAAAAGTCCATCTTTGTCGCCGTCATACCGCAGCTGGGCCCCCGCCGGCACGTACACCGGGGCCGGGGCCAGAGGTAGCAGCTTGGTGTTGCCCAGGGTCATGACAGCCTGAGGGCAGTGAGAGGCCTGAGAGATTGAGGACTGAGGGAGAACCAGCATGACCGTGCCCTGGGGCATCGCCGAGCCCACGATGAGGGACTGCTGGACAGAGGCGGAGTTTCCCGAGGCGGGCTGGGGGAGGATGGGCGTGGCGGCGGTCCGAATCCCGTTATTGGTCGTCTGAACCGCGCCGGGGATGAAGGCAGAGATTATACCTGATTGGCTGCTGACGGGAAACATCTGGCAGATGATTTGAGGGTTGGGGGCCGAGGGCGGGGACAGAGCTGCCAGAGCAGGGGGAGTGGGAGGGCTGCTTTGGATTTGCATATTGACAGGAGCGGGGGTGGAGACGCTGTTCCAACAGGGTTTCGGGGGCCGGGCGTGCTGCTCTGTTTTTGAGGCGAATAAAGGGGGTGTGAGAGGAGCAGCAGTGGATGGAGGTGTGGTCGTCTGCTCAGTCTTTGTAACACGCTGCTGCTGCTGCTGCTGCTGCTGCTGCTGCTGGCAGACGGTTGCAGCCATTACTGTGTCTCTGGTTGTCTCTGGACTGGGGGCCACTGGAATGCGGTGTTGGCAGGGGACACTGTCTGCGGTGTGGCGGATGACGCTGGTCGCCATGGCTCTGCAGGGCTGCGGCAGGGGAGGGAGGGAGGGCGTATTTTCAGCCACGGGTGCCGGGACGGGTTGACGGAGGCCGGAGCCACAGTGTTGTGAGGACACAGCGGGGGCGGAGCTTGACTGGAGCGCCGCGCTGGAAGCCTCGACAAAGCTGGGGCTATGAGGGGGAGTCATGCACTGGAAAAAAAAAACAGAAGGGAGGGAGGAATTAAATTCAACTAGTGCACCCTGATGACAAAGCAGTAAGGAGGGTGTCTCTAGATGTACAAGGGAAAGTGATGGGCAAGACAAGCTTGTAAATACAAGAGTAATGGTCACTTTGAGATATAAAAAGCTATAAACTGGGATTTTTATGATTCATTTTATGAGGTGTGTCTGAAGGTCAGAGCACCTTACAGTATCATGTCTGCAGAACCCTCTCACATGTCCACATCTTATGTAATCAGCCATGATCCCTGGCTTATCTTTCCACAAGAGGCCGAAAGGGCAGTGATCTAAATGGTTTCACAGCGGTGGGAATAGGAGGTGGGCGGGGGGCGGAACTTGATGTTTCAAATCAAGACATACAGATCATTCAACGGCTGAGGCCCGTACAGTATGAAAGGTCACTTACAAGGGAGGAGAGAGACACAAAGTCCTTCGGGGGCTCCGGGAGTTCTGACGGCATGAGTGAGTCACAGGAATCCGAAGCTGGGGTGAGGGGCCTGGGCTTGCAGGGGGCTGGCTTGCCGCCGCCGCAGACAAAGTGGCCCTGGCCCCAGGAGCTCATGCACACCAGCGCTTCGGCGGCCTCCAGGTCGGTGTACTCCAGGCCACAGGTCCCGCTGGGGACAGACTGTTCGCTGTCACGCCTTCTTCTCTTTACGTAGGACCCGCAGCGATCCATGTACTCGGCCTGACGGGAACCAAAAACAGAAACTTCAGACAGTGGCAGCAGAAGCAAAGCACATTGTTTGCGAATTGTTTGCTTTGTTGAAATCAACTTTGCACAAATGCAAAAGGTGAGCTTTCTATATACTATTAACCACAAAGGGGGATCATTTATTTTCGGTCATCCTCTGCTTTAAAAGTTCCCCATCCTACACTACACGATGCTGCCATCGAGGGAGGGGCGGAGGTAGTGACTACACCCCGGCCCAGCATGCACCGCCTTTGGCTCAGAGTCAGACACCTCCCATTGCCAAATATAGACCAAACAGTGACGTGCTGCCCAGATGAGCAATGTGAAATGCCTATAAGGCGGGTTTGCATCAGGAAGTAATTTAGGCATTGTAACTTTATTACACATTTCTTTTTACAGTAAGCAACGCATATTACGGATTTCCCACGAGCACACAACCAAATGTTATTGTTCGTCAACACTGACAGGCTACTTGATTTAAAATACATTTGAGATGAACATAGATACCGTTAGGTTTAGATAAATAACGTTACTTAATTATTTAAACAAAATCGCGTGCACATTATCAAAAACAACAAGTTTCGAATTAACGTGGAATATAATATAGTTGATTTGGCAAAGCTGGGACGTTAAAGTGACTATTATTAATTAAATTAAATATAATTGTATGCAAGTATAAGTATTAAATTAACAATAAGTACGTTGAAATAGCTTATGACTTAGCTTTAGTGGTGAAATATCAAATATATACAGTGAAAGCTACCGATTTGGCAAATTAATGTCGCGCTCAAATTGAAGTAACGTTAACAGTTTCAAAATAAAATCTTACCCCGTTTGAGTCCATTTCTGTAAATGTTCGCGTTGGCATTGAGGAATACGTATGTGTCTAAATACCACTTTGTGCTTGTCAAAGCCCGTACAGAACAAAGGGACGGCAGTTGCCAGAGCCGCTGCCTGTACCGGTGTAGGGTTGAGGTCGCTTTTCTTCTCTGACTGACTCCCTTTTCTCTCAGCTGTGTGTGTAAAACACGGGGCGGAGAAAAAAAAAAGGAAAACAAACTCACAACACGCACCGGCAGGTGGCAACACTCAGCCAATCACAATTGAGTGTGTGGGAAGCTCCAACCAATGGGAGAGCAGAGAACGCGTGAACAGTGCGTGCTCGCTGACCGGTTGGCGGAAACGGGGTGCGTGGCCGTTGGTGGGCGTGTCCTTAAGAGTCAGCAGTGTCAGGGTAAACCCGATGAACTGCCATCCGTTAACTAGGCAAAAGGTCGATCGAGTCTATGCTGCATTCACGGAGTGTAGGGAATAACACTTGCAAATAATCCAGTGCGGTAAATGTTTTTTTTAACAGATTTTACGGTTGAGCATAGTTGTTATTGATAGAGAAATGGTAAATATAGCCTGGGTGCCCAAACTACAAAACAATCAAGTGACAAATGATTTGCACCAAATCTTCCTTTCTACATGTGGGCTTATGCATTTGCACAACAATGGCCTACTGTATTGTCACTGTGCATTTTAGAGCTAATATGTCACACACAATTCCATCAGTGTAGTTTCTAAAATGCCACAACTGTATCATAAACAAGCTTGTGCCTATTTGTTTTATCCTGTCTGTTATGTGGCTGCTTAGGTGGGGATTACATTACATTGCCCGTCTTATTGAGAAAAATGTTTTGAATTGATCAAAATATTATATTGCATATAATTTCTATTTACCAGTGGAAAAACATCAAGCTCTGTCGTCTACTTGAAAGCAAAGGGGGAAGTTGTTTTTACCATGTTTTATACCGTACCTGAATGCAGCACTCGTGCCTCCATGAAGCGCGGGTTTCTATCTTGTTTTCCGGAGCTGTTTGTGAAGCTTTTTCACACAAAAAAACAGATAAATAAGTGCTTGAATAAACAAATTGCGCAAACACATACTAACAAAGATTTATATAAATCATTTCCCTGGTCTATACCATTACTGTAGCCGATAACAACGTAAACAGTGTAATAATGTGTCACGATTACTTAAAATGTACAGGTTTAATGTGATTTTCCAGCAAATCGGGTCACCCTGAGTGGTTTAACAATCCAACTCTATAAATGGTACATTTGATGAAAATGTAACTTATATAACATATTCTGGGCAGGATTTTCCCACTTGTTTTGTCTGCGGGTGTAAACACTCTTTAAGGATTGGGGTGGAGCCAACCTCACTGCACCAGTAAATAAATGTGGATTATGTAAGATGTTTGATTTATATTATCATTGTCAAATTTGCAGACAAATCCATTTTTATGGGAATGCGAGTGCACATATTCACTGGCCTATTATTATGGCGAAGACAAAAAAGGGATAATGTGCTTTGTTCTCCTGTCACTAAATATATTCTTGAAACTTTATGTAAAGGTTATGCATGTCGGCCGGTTTTTCCTGTTGCCTATTGTCTGACAATCTCTCTGAGATCATTCCCACAAGTACATTTAGGAGAACTGAGATTGGTTTCGACCTACATGCGCTGTTGTATCACCAACAGCAATTAGACAAAGATAAAAATGTGTCAAATGTTTTCAAGTCCCAATGAAGTACTTGAACCATGATGTAAAAAACCCTTTATTATTACCAATTGGTGTAAACAACATCAATATACCTTTGTAGAAACAACAGCAGAACCAGAGTCATTTTCATGAGCATGATCAGAATAGATATTTAAAAATCGGTTTCTGATATTCCTTGCTTGAATATGAATGCAAAACTCATGTGACCTCATTTGCACCAAAAATGGTAATTTGGTGTTTGTCTGCAAATTGCCCTCAGCCGAAAGTACTGCAGCAGGTGTGTTAGCCCGGCCCCCGGCGGCGTCTGGCGGCTAACGGAGGCCGCGCCTTAGTGTGACTCACATGAGCATGACCTCAGGGAGCATCGAGGGCTTGGAACTTGTTGGCAGAATAGCCGCAGTGGCAGCAGTTAGCGAGAAGAGAGGGGAAGAGGGAGGAGTTACGAGGAAAAACACGTTAGCATGTCGGCATGACAGGCTGCTCGGGCCTAAGCACGGCAGCCTGTTTGTGATATAAGTGGGGCAGGCCGCTTGAACTCGGTTGTGGAATGTGGAGGAAAGGTTACGCTGGCCCTATCTGGGCCTCCACATGCTCACCTCCCCTGTCCGGCCAACTCCCCCCCCCAGACTCAGGAACTCAAAAAGGGGGAAGTTTCCCCAGCAGGGTTAAATATATCACCCAAGGGCTATATTTCACTAAAAGCCCCTGAGCTATGACAGGCCATGTCATCTCGGGGAATAAAGTGTTTCCAGATGAAGTGCGTCCACTATACATGCAACATGTTGTTACAAGGTACAATTATAGATTGGACCACAATCGAAACCAATCTTCTTAACGTTAGAAATTGCCATTTATTTTTGAAAATATCCTGAGGTCATGAATTCAGATATACATCGTTTACCATTCATGCCAGAAAAACAGGAAAGAATTGAATGAACACCATAGAGCTGAAAAAAAGAACCATTTTGTTGTGTTGTGACATCCCTTCATTGTGTCATCAATAAATAACTTTTTTTTGTGTGTTGAATGTAGAGCCAAACTGGATTTTTCAAATGAGGATTGAAGATAATCTTGTGGCACTCAGCTCTCATGACTCTGAAATGCATCTCGTTTTTATTTTAACTTTACAAGGTGTGGCGAGGATGTTTTATAGACAGAAGCTAATGCCAAAGTTAAACAGAGATCCAGAATGTCAGCTCCTCCCAGGCTTCAGTACAAACTGGCATCTGGGGCAAAGGTACCAACCAACAAAGAGCCCGCAGGCACCGAAGACGAGAGATCCTTCATCCTTCCTTGCTTCCCTTGTTCTGTAGCTTTATGGTATTGATTTTTTTATTCTCAGATCAATGCAAATACTACTCACGTGGGCAGAAAGCACTCTGACTAAACTCCTCTGCTTTGTGTATAAAAAAATAACATGGTGTTTCCTTTGCTGATTTCTGTATGTTATACATGTGTGTGGCATGTCAATATCCATTCAGGAAAACAGTTATTGCAACGTGCAATTTGCATGTTAATGATGTATTACTGCAGTTTAAGTAAAGGTTATGGTGTAACATTCTAAAGGAACAAATGGTCTTCAAAGGGAAATTCCATTTTTAATCATTAACTTTATTGTTTAAACCTAAGTCAGTCTTTAATTCAGCTCCTCACAACACGTCCATCAAATGTATCGCAAATTCATATTTATTACTTGTATCCAACAATTTCAAGTCATGTGTGCATAGTACAAACTAGCACCGATGAAAAATCTAATAAGAAATAAAAATAAAAAGAATATTGGACTTTTAGACTTTAAAAAACACAATTCATGAACATGGTAAGAAAACATTCAGAAATGACTACAAAAGCATAGACAATCAGTTACGTAAAGGCTTCAAGGAGGGTGAATAGATAATAGTAATGTTTATTGTGCAGAGAGCTATCGCTTGTATAATGATGTGGTTTATATACTAGATTCTTGACAATCTTTAGTTTTTTTGTCAAAGTACACTGAAAGTACCATGTTCAACGTGAATTTAAATCAAATTCTATCTCACTTCTTTGAAAGTGTAGCGATGACCCTTTGAAAACCAACAAATCAATGTCCCAGTGTCAATGTTTAAAATGTTATTCAGGGTACAAAACCTTCCCCACTTTGTCTGGCAGGGGGGAAATATTTAATTTCCTGATAAGATCATGTTTTAAAATGATTACAAAACATCAGTTAATCAGTTATTGCTGTAACGGAACCAACACAGAGATTTTTCTTAACATTTCATGAGTGTTTGTCTGTGTGTCTTGTGTAAATATTGCCTTACAACAAACCACAGATGGCCTCTTGTTGGAGCCGTCTCTCGTAGTAAACACCATGAAGGATGCTTTGTGTATCACAAACAACACACGTGGCCCCACCCTCTCTCCTCCTACACATTAGGATGGAGGGACTACTTGGATTCCTCCACAATCACCGGGCTCCTGATTGGTCGAAATGGGAGTTAATCTGTTGCTATGAGACCCTGACTCGCCAGCTTGCTTTCTGTTGCCCCGGCAACATGAGGATCAGGAGGAAGAGTTGAGGGCTCCCTGGAGGATCTCCCCTGCAGACGGCGTGAGCATGTGTGGCGCTTAATGATGAAGGCTTGGAAATCTGGAATATTATTAAATAATGCAATTTATCTGGTCGCCTGGGTGAACACGTTACTCTTCTGCAATGGATCGCCCTTCATTGCTCTATGAAAAAGTGTGCATACTGTTCTATTCATCGTCTCCTTTCAGATGCCAGCAGTAGATTATTGAACTGTCCATTTAACAGCTCAAAATCACTCAATCCTTTTTTGTCATGTTTCATTAAATGCTTCTAAGGTAATACATACCTAAAATGAACTGCTTTTGTGTAGCGATGGAATGGAGATGTATTGAGCTCTTTGTCTTTAATGAGCTCCTTTCAGCAGTGGCAAATGCACTTCAACAAAAGACCACAACATGGGTGCTAAAGGGCATTTTGCGTTACCACCCTATATTACTAAAGCAGGAGGAAGCACTAAACACAAAACAGTTGGATTTAGTAAAAAACAGTTATTTTTCCCAGTTAACTCCCACAATAAACGGACATCGTTTTTTCATTCATTGAGACAAAGAAGCGTTTATTTAAGAGATAGCTCACGCATTGTGCATGCAAGCACCCCCTCAGATTCACACGTACACACAGACACACATACGTTTGCTACCTTGTCTGCTGTGCACACACAGGGAGCGCTTAAACACTTCACTCATGTGTCAATGTGCTGCTGGAAATGGACTCTATAAGTACAATCCCCATTGTGTCTGTCAGTGTGCATGTGCGTTAATTGTGGAGAGATGACGCTTTTTTCTGAACCTCTTTAGATCCGTTTCTGTTTTCCGCTTCATATTGGAATAGGTATGTTGTAAACACTGTGAATTTCACAAAGGCTGTGTTTTGAAAATGAATAAAAAAAGGTCAAACAGCGTGTGCG